TCAAGTTCATTTCATTTTTTGTTTTCATCCAAACTTAGGTGAAAACTTAGATCCATACAAGTTACTGCTTAGGCATATATTACTACTTTGTAAAGTGATAATCTTCTCACATCGGGAAGTTGTCACACTTGAGTGTGCGAGATTGTATTCAAGTTTGGAGCACTTTGGTTGAAGTTTATCATACTATCTTTTACATTTCCACGACTTGTATCAGATTCAAGCCTCTGATTGGAGCAAGGTTCTAATTTAATTGGTTTCATTTATTTTTTGCTCTTACCATAGTCTACACGTTTTATAGAGTTTAAATGCTCTTACCATAATCTACACGTTTTATAGACTCTAAATTCTCTTACCATAGTCTACACGTTTTATAGACTTTAAATGCTCTTACCATAGTCTACACGTTTTATAGACTCTAAATGCTCTTACCATAGTCTACACATTTTATAGACTTTAAACGCTCTTATCATAGTCTACATGTTTTATAGACTTTAAATACTTACCATGTCTAGCTAAATTTATTAGGGTTAGAATGTAAGGATCGAATCATAACTATGTCCTGTATGCCATGCTAATAGAAATACCTTTGGGATGTTTTAGCTTTTTAATACTGGTTTAAATGTGTTTAAAAGTTTATGGGTAAGATCGAAAGCCGTCCATACTCGAGATTAAGCCAAATTAGTTCTTGACCAAACGAAAAGAGCGAAAGCAGTTCGTTTGGTTAGGTAGGGTTACTTGATATAATTTTAGAAAACGATTTTGAAACTATTTGCGGAAGCGTTTGTGGGATTAAAATATGATTCTTGGTCAAAAGCCAAGGATCTCTTTAAGTTAAGTTTTCCAAATTAAAACACTTTTTCACTAAGTCAAAATAACTTGTTTCTTAAAAATAGGTTTACTCCTTTAACACGTTAGGCACCCTTTATAAGTGACAATAAAGGAATTTAATTTAAAGAGTAAACTCGGTTCTTAGTATGCGAAAGCTACAAGTTCCTGTTAAATAGTTCTTTTCTATAAATGGAAAATATTGCCCAAAAGTAAATACTATACATGCATGCTAGGACATTGTCTGATCTCGTGATTTACATTCGATCCCGTTTGTTTTATCTTTTTAATTTTATTCGCTTTTATTTCCCTGTACTGAACTCAATCCCTTATTGATCTGCCTTAGATAAACACCTTAATAATAGAGTCGATAGATTGCCAATTGGTCTCTATGGTTCGATAATCTTATATATTACTTCGATAGGCTGTGCACTTGCAGTTATAATTTAGACTATACAGTAAAAGCCCATCAATAATTTAAGAGACAAACGAAAATAAACATAATTATATTGAGTAAAAGCAATAAGAATTCGTAAACATAAACCTGGTAATAATTCTGAAGATATAAGCACTCCTGCACAAATTGTAGGCTTTGCTTCGATCGGAAAATATATTTAACCGTACAAAGAAAATAATGCTGGAAGGAATATAGAAATAACTGGGAAATAAAATAATGCTGAAAGGAATATTTGCTAAAAGTAAATATAAAATCTCCAAAGTTTCTGCCCAAAAAAAAGAACTCCTTCTCGTATGGTCCAAGGCTCTATTTATAAGTCTTGTGTGATCAGTTGTTCTCGAGAATATAGGAACAATTTTTCTTCCTTTGAGAAATAATAGGACCATTAATTTGTTACGTTCCCTGGTGCTTTGACTGAGTGGGTCAGATAATATAGGTAGTCGTTGGATTGGCTTTGAATGTGTTTCTGTCTGTTGGATGCGAAGAAAGTGGGGAAAGTGGCCTTGTGACGTTCGTCACGTCCAAGTGACGATAGTCACTTGGTCATTCTCAATGCGTGACGTTCGGCATGAATCCTTGACGATCGTCAAAGTCTTCTTTATGGTGGGCCATGTGCTCACATGCTTAATGGGCTTGAGCTCATTTCTTCTCCTTTGGCCTTTTTGCTAGTTTTGCACCTCTTTTTTTCTTCATTTCTTCCAAAGTGTTCAGCTTAATGCATATCTGCAAAAATAGAAAAATACCTGCATAATACCTATAAAATAATTTAATTTAAACTAAAGTATGAGAAATATTTTGTGTATATCAAGCCAGAAATATCACATATTTGTGTGTCATCACCCCCCCTTTGTCTTATGAGACAATTCTATTTTGTAGACCCCTTGACTGTAGTTTAAGGGGGAAACAAATAAGCCATTTTGAATTGCTTTGGCATACTGCTTTGATACTTTCTGCACCCAAATTACCTTTGCCATTTTGGTGCAATCTTGGGGCTGTTGTGATGCAGGCTTGGGCAGACTACATAGAGCAGTTTTGGACTGTAATGGCAACATGTATCCTTGGGGTGCAACATAGTTGTAGCATGTGATATATCATATTTTCTTCAATTTTGGACAACATAGTTGTAGCATGTCACAAATTTGGTCTTGTGCATATTATGTCAAAGGCAAAAATATTATGACAAAGTTTTAATCAAGACATAGTTTTAGAATTTGTAATTTTTCAAAATGTCACATTGAATTACTTGCATCATCTTGAATTAATTGGAGTGGTAGTAAAATGCCATGAAGCAAATGAAATCAACCAAGTATAGAGAATACTTAGAAAAATCTCAAAGTCTTGCAAAGTTGGATTTTTGATTCTCTTGATTTTTGATGATCACATTTCATTTCTTAGATGTCTTGACATAATGTGATTTTTTGGGACTCAAATTTGGTCAAAAAATCAAAGTTTGACTTTTCAGTGTGCAAATGACCATTTTGCCGTGGTGCCAATTTCAAGCCTAAATTGATGTATCAGTGCTGCAAACTTGACGTCTTAGAATATCTTGTGAGCAAATACTTGAAAAATGAGAGGGCAAATTTTGGGGTACAACAGTGTGGATTAGGTTTTTTGGTCTCTCCCATGAGTTCTGGAGACCTAGAATTTTGTTTGCAATCACAAGTAGTATTGGCACATCGATTTGCATCGATTCCTCGGCAGTAAAATTAAGAGTGGATCGTACTTTCGATCATTATGTTTATGTGTTAGTGGATATAGACCTAACCCAAACTCTGAATTATAATGTTCTAGTAGAAAGGGAGGTTTCGTGTTTTTTGCTGATATTGAGTATGAAAATATGCTGCAGTTTTGTACTCATTATAGGAAATCAGGACACAGTATGCATAGTTATAAGATGCTCAACAAGGTTCAGTCTTCGCTTTGGCACAAGGCTAGGGATGAGTTGACGAAAGTAACCACTAGCATTGATACTAACAACACATAACTTGTTATTAATCTGGATGTTGGCATTGATACTATTCAACAGGTTCAGGTTGAGGAAGTTTTACAGGCGAGGTCGGTCCTACAAAATTTTGTAACACACATTTCGCCTGATCCGGGTCTTATCTTAGAGTTGGTGGCTAATACGAGTAAGGAATTAGTTCATATCGAGGAAGATGTTTCTGAAGAGGAAATGAGGGATAGAACTTTTCTCAGGAACTCGTGAGATTCTTTGGCTAATGTAGAAGTTGTTGAAGAAACGCATGAAATAATTCATAATAGTGGTAGAGGAACTTTTTCCAACGCTATATCGAATCTTAAGAAGAAACAAAAACATCCAAACTCGAATTAGAAGTATGGAACAAGGTTCCAAGCAAACCTCAAGAATTTTACCTTATGAAGAGCCTCTTTTGGAACATTAGGGGCATAGCCAATCCCTTGTCAAGTTTAGCTCTTAAACATTTAATTCGTCTTCATAATCCTCATTTCCTTTTCATTGCGGAACAAAAAACTGATTTTGACAAGCTCCCTGTAAATTGGTTTCATAGATTAGGTTTTAAGCTCTTTTCTGTCAATAATTCTCTATTGCCTTCTCTTTGGTGTTTGAGTCTGATAGGCATTGATCCAGATATTTTGGCTATTTCTGACCAATTTGTGGCTTTCTCTTTTGTGTTGGACAATAAGAGGTTAGCTTATGCGACTGTTTATGCTTCTAACAACGTATATAAGAGAAACTAGTTGTGGGATGATCTTGTTAATCTTCAGGCTTCTCATCCTCTTCCTTGGACTTACTTAGGCGATTTCAATGCCATTTTAGGTGCTCGTGAGCACAACGGTAGGATCGTTCTTGCGCTGGGTCCGATGAGGGATTTTCAGAGGTGGACTGATTCTAACCACCTCTTTCATGTTCCAACTAAGGGGTATTTTTTCACCTGGTCAAACAAACGGGACCATCCTTTTTTTATTCAAAGAAGGTTAGACACGGTTATCTCAAATTAGGCTTGGTTGAATTGTTGTGCTAACACCTCTGTTTGTACTCTTACTAAGTTATGTTCGGATCACTTTCCTATTCTTCCAGATTTATCCATTTCAACCTTCAAGGTTGCTTCCCAATTTCGATTTCTTAAAGCCTGGACTTTGCATAATGATTATAAAAGGCTGATTACGGATAGTTGGAAGCAGTAGGTTTCTGGTTGTCCTCTTTTGGTGCTTGGCAAGAAGCTCTAAAGGTTAAAGTCCGAGCTTAAAATCTGGACTTATAAAAACTTTGGGAATGTTACGCAGAATGTGCTGCTGGCAGAAGCAAAGCTTAATTATTTGCAGGAAAATAAGTAGGGGACAGGCGGTCATTATAACATATTAGAGAAAGATGTGCAAGATAAACTTACTCTTGCCCTAGATATTGAGGAGAGTTTTTGGAAAGAAAAAGCAAGGATTAAGTGGCACCTTGAGGGAGATCGCAATACGACTTACTTTCATCGAATTTCCAAAATTTGTAATGCTTTAAAACCTATTTTTATTCTTAGAAACAGGGAGGAAATCATTACAGATCTGGCTATTATTGTGTTGCACACAGTGGAATATTTCAAAAATATTTTTTCTACTAATGATTCTTTTTTGCAGGATGGTTCTTTGGTGGAGGGTATTATTCCTAGCCTGGTAAATATTGAGACGAATGAGATGCTTACTACTCTTCCCTCTTTGGAGGAAATTATAGTTGTTGTGTTCTCTCTTAATAATGACAGTGCCCCTGGCCCAGACGGTTTCAAAGCTTCTTTCTACCAAATCTATTGGGATATTATCAAGCTTGAGGTTTCTTTCTACCAAACCTATTGGGATATTATCAAGCTTGAGGTTTCGGAGGCGGTCATTCAATTTTTCTCTATTGGGTGGTACCTCATGGCTTCAATTTGAATGTGCCAGTGCTTATTCCAAAGACCGACAATGCGGATTCCTTGGATCTCTACCAACCCATAGCTCTTTCTAATTTCAAGTTCAAGATTATTTCTAAAATTATTGTTGTCAGGCTTACAACTATTTTACCTTTCTTGGGCTCTCAAGAGCAAAGAGGTTTCATTCACGAGAGGAACATTAAAGATTGTATTGCTTTAGCCTAAGAGGTTTTCAATCTTCTCGACTCCAACTCTATTATTTAATTATTTTATTAATTACTATATTATATATAATTGATTTAATTATGTGATTTGGTGAATATTTGAAAGATTTGAATATATTGTTATTTGAATAATTGGAGTTATAAGTAAGAATAGTAAATAATTAGAATTGAGATTTATGTCATAATAGAATGGGTAAGTGAAGTTAGGCCCATTAATGAAATAGAGTAGTAAGAATAGGAATTAGAATTAGTGTTGTTATAAAACAAAAACAAAGAAGAAAAGAGAAGAGAAAAGGAGAAAGAGGAGAAAAGAGGAAAAGTAAAGAGGCAACCCTAAAGACTCTACACTCAAGGTAAGAGTGAGAATCTATGTTATTATGTGAGTATATGATGGGTAGTAATATTTAATAGGATTAGGTATGTGAATTTTTAGGTTTTGAATCACCCAAATTGATTTTGGGATTTGGAAATTAGGTTTTTGAAATCTAGTTTTTATTATATAAATAGGTTCCATATGATGTATATATGTTAAAATATGTTTACTTAGTGAAAAATGGGCATTAGAACATGTCTCTATGGTGATTTTTGTGCACAAGTCAGTAGCTGTTTGCAGCAGATTTTTCTGGTTTTCGTAGAGGGCGCTTAGCGCGGGTAGGGCCGCTTAGCGCTTGTGGATGGACACAGAAAATTATTTTATGCATGAATGAGATTGGGATATTGTATGTTATGATTTATCTTGGATTTACATGTATTTTAATAATTTATTTGACTTGATTCAGATTGGTTTTGGAATCGTTTTGATGAGAAACTTAATACTTGAATTGTGTATGTGAGTGTTGAATTTGATGATGTTTGAATGTAGCATGATTTGTATCTAATTACTACATGTTATAATGATTTTTTGAGATGATTTATACTATGATATTGTATATATGTGATTGATTGACATGAAATATGTATGTTATGCAATATTGTGAAGATAATTCAAAATATGTTGAATTATGTGATGAGTTGTTGAGGTTGCACATGTACATGCGTCATTTATGTCAAGAGGCAAGGTTTGGTAATTTCTTGGGAACTATTGACTTGTCTCAAACCTAACGTTGAATGGGGTTTGGAAGCTTAAGGCTGAATCAGGCTTTTATTGGTGGTTACCTGTCTTGGAGATGTGGATTCGGCATGACCGATAAGGATAACATTGGTACCACATGTATAATGCATTTGAGTTGCACTGGAGTCACATGGGTCAATGTGAATTATTGCATTATCACTCATTATGTAATATTAGTGTGAGTGTGGTGTTTTGATGTGCAACATGTGATAATTGATTTAATTGTATAATTGTGGTAATTAGAATTGAATTTCATTTGGAATATGAATTGATGAGCTATGTTGTATATGTGGATTGATATATTGGATTATGTTATATGTAATACGTGGTTTTATGAATAGTGATGGATTCATATTGATGTATCTATGTTTTACATTGCTTATGATTATATATTTTCATAATGATATGAGTTCTCACCCTTATGTTGAAATGATATTTTATACGACATCGCTCAGGTACCGAAGATAGCGGTGCTTCTTACCAGGATTAGAGGAGGATCTAGATCCTTATTTATCTTCTTATTCCTAGGTAGTGAGTCATTGCTCTGGTCTATGTAACACGTGAGATATTCGAATCCATGTTTCAATTTGTTTTGAGAGATATTTGTTATTACTCTCTTTTATTTGGATATGTATGAGATTATGTGATGTTTGGCCTCAATGTCTAGTACTTATGATATGATTGTCAGTATGAGATTTCAATCATTTGTATCTTTATGTTGAAATAATTATTCCGCTGCGAGATGCATATTTTGTATTGGTGTATGAAACGTGAATATGAATACGTGTTATGATCATGACCATTATGCATGTTTGAATTTTCTTTATTGTTTTGTGAAGTCAATTGCAACACCCTCTTTGAGATGTATGCTAGTTTACTCTGATTATGCTATTTATGTCTATGTGGAGTTAGAGGGTGTTACAACGTCCATCTCGTGGTATAAGTGTTTCGAGCTTATCAAGGTGAACACTTAAATGAGCATACACTAGTTTATATTACAATAGTGCCTGAACATTTTTCCATCAATGCTATCACAATGTTCAAAGATAATTGAAAATGCAATTAATGAGGTCTAATTTTTAACACGAATATAAATTAATTGCTTCATTGAAGATTTTGAAATGAACAAAAACTAAATTTAAGCTCTGTGCGATACTTAAATATGTGACATGATCAATGGCAGTCGTTTCTTGGAACAACTGTTTTGAGCTTATCAAGGTGGACACTTAAATATGTATACGTTATTCTGTATTCCAATAGTTTGCACATTTTCCATCGATGTTATTACAACGTTCAAGGATAATTGTAAATGCAATCAATGAGGTTCATCTTTCCACACGTAAATAGATTAATTACATCAATGGAGATTTGAAATGCACAAACACTTAAATGTGAGCTCTTAGTGATACTTGAATGCATGAGATAGTCAACGACGTCTATTTCTTGAGTTATGTGTTTCGAGCTTATCAAGGCGAACACTTAAATGTGCAGATACCATTTTGTATTCTAATAATGTTTGCATATTTTTTCATCGATGATATCACAATTTCAAGGATAATTGTAAATGCAACTAATGAGGTCTAAATTTCAACAAAATATAGATTAACTACATCATTGAAGATTTTGAAGGCCGCAAACACTTAAATGTGATCTCTTAGTGATTCTTCGTGACATAATCAATGACATCCATTTCTCGGGATAAGTGTATCGAGCTTATCAAGGTGGAAACTTAATTGTGCAAACACTATTATGTATTCTAGTAGTGTCTGAACATTTTTCCATAGATGTTATCACAATGTTCAAAGATAATTGTAAATGTAATTAATGAGGTATAATTTTCAATGCAAATATATATTAGCTATGTCTACTTGCTAAAAAAGTACAATGAGATAGCCATATGTTTGTAGGCTGGTTTGTGATGTGTATGGTATTTGGACATCCTACAGGGCTTGATCACCCAAAGTGGTGACAAGCTTTGTATGTGTTATTTTGTGAGAGAATTGGATCCCTTCCTCATGTATTTATAGAGGCTCCATTGGGCCTAGGTCATAGTGTTAGTGGGTCAGTTTTTACCTTATCTCCATGATCTAGAAAGTTGTGAAGGGAAGACTTATTCTTCCTAGAATCATAGAAGAAACTTTTCCTCTATTAACCGATCCTCTTCAGTTAGTGTATTGTAAGCCCACCTCACTGCCCATGTATATTGGGCAAGTGGGCAACGAGAATTAGTCCAAACAGATGAAACTTGGTTGGGCGGCCTGTCGTGAACATTCAAGCGGCCCCGTGGCCCATTTCAAGCTACTTATTATTTCACGAGGCAGCTTGCCCGTCACCAATGTGTTTGGATTCCCATAGGATATCCCTTCTTAAAGCCTAATATAATTATACCACTACACAATTCCTCAATCACAAGGGTTTTGCAAAATGACAAAGTGATTTAATCTAAGCAAAAAATAATTTATTTCTGGGCGAGACTTTTGAGACGAGTCCTTCATGCGAGACTTTAAGTTGAGTCTCATACTGCGAGACTTTTGAGTCGAGTCTCTCAGTCGAAACTTTAGGTTGAGTCCATCAAGCAAGACTTTTGAGTCAAGCCCCTAAGACAAGACTTTGAGTTGAGTATCTCAAGACGAGGCTACGTTGAGTACCTCAAGCGAGATATTAAGTTGAGTCTCTTGTTGCAGTGCAAATAGAAAGTGCAATATTATCATATCCACATACATTGTTTGCGTTTTAAAGATGGTTCCATAGTTTTTATGATTTTGAGCAAATGGTTGTTTAGAGTTGTTTGGTTGTAGAAAATAAATTGAGATTTTTGTGTTAATAGTGAAAAAATTTGTTGGAATTATATTTCATCATCCTTATCATCATGTATAATCATTGGTCAGTACTATGTTCTACTTTTTTACTCAACTATTAATACTCTTGCATATTACTCTCATCGCAACTCTTCTCTAACGTTATCGACATGTTCAATTGTATTATCTAATAGAGAATCTCCCGTCCTATTAAACTCAACATCATTTAATTCCAATAGTGAATACATATCATTTATGAGTATATTTATCAAATTTACAAGTTAAGCCAATATAAATTCTCATACTTCTAAATAATATTTTGATTTTAAATACAAATTAAAATTATTAAATTTTAAAACATATTCGATCACTAAATTAGAATATATTTTATTAAAAAATAATTAAACTATATTTTACCTAGTTTCAAATAAAAACGGTAACATGTCCCGCCAAAAGAAATCAACTATCAAAAGATTTCATGGCTCTAAACAATTAAGCTACGAAGCCTCCAATTGATATTTTTTAACTCGCGCAAATAAGAATCTACTATAAATTCCTAACTTATTCATATATTTTAAATGCTTAAATTGAAAATCAGAAAAAATCTGCTCTAGATTCATGCCGAAAGCACACACGATATCAAAATGAGAGCAACATCATCACTATTGAAATGAGTTTGTAATCTAGACATAGGATCAGCAAAACAAAATTTGTGAACCATAAAGTCGTGCAGAATGTCTATAATTTCTGTACATCATAAATTTGTACATTAAAGTAACACCATAATTTTGGTCTTTAAACTACTGCACTGTAGGTACTGATCCACTCTAAGTTTGTGATTGAATATTTCTATGAGGCATCAACTCCTCCCCAACAACAGAGCGAACCATCACCTGAGAATTCAAGAAATAAATAGTAGAAGAATAGATGACGTTACATGACAAAAAATTAGATTGAAGTTT